TATCTGCGCAGCCCCTCCCCGCTGCACAGGGTGGCACCCTCCTCTCCGTACAAACATGGTGCCTCCCGTTTGGTATATATGTACATAAATGTGAAATACACATATTCAATTTTTAAAAGAAAAACATATTTGCGCAGCCCCTCTCACTCTCCACACCCTCCTCTCCACGGTGTGCGCCCTCCGTGGCACCCTCCTCTCCACGGCGTGCAAACTATTGCACTGCCAGTGGCGGGCTTTATAGCCCTGCCACAATGAGAATGTTGGGCGCCCTGCTGAGTTGAATCTTTGGTGGCAAGCCTGTCGAAGCAGCGCGTACCACTGAGCAAGCGAGTCAGTAAGTGGTGCCAGCCTACATTGATTCTGAACATTTGTAGCGAGGTATCGAACAACACAAACAAGAAAATTGCCTGTCAATCTGAAGATCATTTTGGATGCTTTGACTGGATTTGGAATAAGCGCCGGCCACCATTTTTCAGCGCCTAATGGGGATCACTGTGCACAACCCTTCAGGTGTGGCACGGTGAATGCAACAACATGCGATGCGAGAAGCCTCAACCCATACCTGGTTCTCCATGGGCCGACACGAAGAGCTTTTCACATCCACATCATCCCAAACAGACACCAGGCTGAACACGGTGGCCTCAAACTTCACGAAGCACTTGACCTGGCAAATCCTGCCTAATGAAGTACCGTCCGTGATCTCCACCACGTCTCCAACAGCAACAGACCGCTTTCCAAGACCAAAGGTTACAGATCTTCCCACGGTCAATCCTGGCGCCACCAACAATTGATGGGCCTTGCAAAAGGCTGCATGCAACTCACCTGACGCTTCCTTACCCTTTACGAGGTCCAACTCGCCATGCCCGTTGTACTGTTCCAAATCCATGGTGTGGGACAGGGTCACTTCCTCCAACACCGAGCGCTCCACCCCAGGGACACCAGTCGCAGTCTGATTAGCGTACCGTTTGAGTTCCTTACGCCGCCTTTCTTGCACAAAGCAAGAAGGCAAGAAACCGTGCTTTTCCAGCGACCATGGTAGATGCATGGCAAAATGAGCCTTTGGAGGCAAGAAGTCCTTGCCGTACACCTCGGTAAAGTCCATGAAATGCAGGGTGATTGCATTCTGAAGGCTGCATGGAGCAACTCTCCCTGCATTTGCAGCCAACAGTAGAAGATCCATCACTGCGCACAAATGCTGAAACACTTTGCGTGCTGCTGCCACTTTCTCAGTGACTCGTCTCGGATCCAAACACCTCAAGAATTCCAGCAGTACCGGGTACAGCGACAAACCCTCAGACGCACTGCTTTTGAACTTGTCCTTGGACAGGTCGACCTTTTTCTCCAAAACTTTGGTGGCATCCACTGCACGCCCTCCTATCCAACTAGGCCACACAAAGGTGCTGACATATTGGTGGACTTCTTCTTGGCGAATACCTGCCCCTGCTAGCGCCCCAAGAAGCAATGTCACCTGGAATCAGCGGGCACCAACTACAAGCTATGCCCTGCTTTGGCGAGCAAAAACCCTGCCGATTCTTGTAATGGCCTATATGTACTGTTTTTGACCTGTTGAGGTTTACAACACAGATTGCTTTACGCAAAAGCCTTACAAGTGGAACTCCCCGCATCCCCAACACAAACCTAGGAGGCCTTTTGACGATCACTGCAAAGGGACATGTAAATAGCAACGAGTCACTTCCAAGTGGAACAGGCCTGATACCATGTAGCAATGCATCCAGTCATAGCATAAACCTTCTGTGACGCTAAAACCACAAGCCTGAACAGTATCCAACGCCAAAAGACCTCTTGGACAATAATTTATGCCCAGTCTTTGTTGCAGGCTACTGAATTGTGACTTGTTGAGCACCACAGATTGGGCCGCCAGATGCCTATGGTTGTCTCGCAGTGTAGCGTCAGAGTGTAGCACAAATTTGCGCACGTCTAGTTCTGTGTGTTCTATCACGCTGTCGGACGACCGAGCCAGGGTGGACGCTTTTGACACCGTGGTTCTGCGCAAAATGCACATCAGTGACCCGCTAGCACCCTTTGATGCAAAGCAATCCCGAATGGCGCCTTCATCGGACACGAGAATTGTCGGCACAGCGGACAGGAACCCAGTACCACCACAGTGAAAGTCTAGCTGTAGCCCACTGCGGAAATCCATGCCTGGTTCAACAAATGACAGGAATGCCAGTTTGGCCAGCTGGGCAAATCCGTCAGCAACTTCCTTTCTGACAATGCTCGAACGTAGGCACGTCAAGATGAACCAAGATGGTTCGGCTGACAGCAAGCTGCCGCCAAGTTCCTCAGCACGCGCATGCGCAAGAACCGTGTAGACAGGGGGTTCCAAAAACTATGTTGGTAGATACTCACTCTCATAAACGTTGGTTGAATGTGCATGCGAGACTCTGCTATTGCCCAGTATATAGCAAACACCTTCCGCCTGTTATCTGCCTTGAGCACGTTGCCAGGCGATATTTCGTCTGCGTACAATATCAGCCGGTAGGGTCGATGTCTTCTGGGAAAGAAGCAGCTTCAGTGCTGCCGACCAACCGGGACACTTCTGGGCAGTGAAGTGTAGCATTGCCGCAGGGCAAACATATGTCACATTCTTTTGGCCACCAGTTTTCGTTTCTACACTCCACTCTTTCACTACCGAACCAAAAGGCGTCAAATCCCCTATGGCAGCAACCCGTGCTCTCTTGATCGACTGTCTCGAACAAGCTGAAGGCAACTCCTCGGCATTCCGCAAGTCAGCCAGCACTTGCGAGAGGGCCGACTGGCTGACAAAGGACTTTTTTCCCAAGCGGGACAGGTCCACCATTTGCTCATGACACGGTGGGCGATGCCAAGTACGATAAAGTATATAATTACAATACCAGGACGTGCACTATTGCGTGCGGCCACGAGATAATTCTGTATGTATGTATGTCTATATATATAGATACAAGGAGTTCCCCAATGCAAGTCTAAACTCTGTTTTTCACTGCAAGCTGGAAGCCAGTCACAACAACTCGTCTAACAACGCAATTCAGCACTACTGACGAGCATGATTGGTGTGAAGTGCAAAATGTCTGACTGCATCAAGAGTCCTGCAGACTTAGAAGCTATCGTTATACATACTGTTTAAAACCTCCACGCTCCGAACGCCACACTGAAACACGCCTGGGCGGAGTCCACCAAGCCTTGGTTGGAGTGCAAGTCACACTAAACAAAGATGTTTCACTGCATATTGCGAGCACGTGTGCCCTGCAACTGCGTGAAAACCATTTTCCTTTGCTGACGCTGCCTGCAGAAGTGCTGGCATCAAACACATGTCCATCGCCGCAAGCGCGACACTCTTTTTGAACGCTGCGTGACCCTTCAAAAACTGTCAAAAACCATGTGAGTGTGCCATCTCCATGATGGGCGAACGAAGCCAGGCTCATGTGCTCTGCTTTGCTGGGCGCTTCAGTACCTTCGGCCCCTTTGGCTTCGCACCCTTCGTGCTGGGACGCTTTGCTGGCATAGCCACTGGAATTGGGGGATGCTCATTGGGATCATCGACTGAAAAGGGACTCTGCAAGAGCATCCACTGCACTGTGCGTGGCGACCGCACGTCAAAGACCCGCTCGCCGAACACGAACTTTGCCATGCGAAACTCGGGCTCGGTGGCATTCCAAGTAGTGCCATCGATCATTTGGTTGATGACTCTGCTGAAAGCGTCCCGCGTACGCTCAGCCCATGAGCAGATGAAGTGCTCGACCGTGTCGCCTGACATGGAGTGCACACTCACCACTGGAATCCCATCAGGCCAATTCCAGGCAATGTTGAAGATTTTCGAGTTCACTGGCCTTGCGAGAAACGGTTCTCCACGCCCGCAGCCCTCAAACTGGATGGTTTGCGAAACCTCATCAACTGCTTTGACTTTGTATTTGTGGCTGAGCATCCCTGTCTCACACAACGTGACCTTTTTATCTTTCACAGCGTCGAAGCCATGCTCTGCCACAAGCTCGCACAAGTCATTCACCTTGCGCGCAGACGCCGGGGGCACCAAGAACCACCCCTCGTTCCCAACGTTGGCCATGAGCTCCTGCATGCCCTGCCTTGCTTCCTGGCGCGTCAAATGGCGCTTCTGGATCAAGGGCTCCGACATTGCACGCGTGACTCCTCAATGACTCAACCGCCCAACCCTCTCACGCTCCACACGCTCAGCCAAACAACTGTATAGACTCAAGTCACAAAATCAGTCGATACAGTCAACAAGTCAAGCACACATGGAATATCTGTAGACTCAAGTCACTAGATCAGTCGACTTAGTCAACAAGACAAGCACACATGGAAAAGTACATGGAAACAACAACTGCTGCAAAATCAAATGAACAGAACAAACCACACTTCAATCTTCAATCGCACAGCCCCTCTTCTCGAAACAGCTCTTGCGTAGCAACATCGAAGTGTCAAACACATCTCAAAATAACCGTCTGTCTTCATACGACATGCGACTCTTGTTTTCCTGCTGCATTGCGGCGTCATAGAGTGAGTACAGAGCGCATCACTGCAGCTCTGCGAGCACCCTTGTGCCCTGCATGGTGCGTGATGCCTCTTTCACCTTTCACCTGACCTTACCTGTCACCTTCCCTTTCACCCTTTCACCTTCTCGTATAAGTGCATACAGCTGACCATTCAACCCATACTCTGAGCTTTGTACTTCCTGATCCGCTCACGACACTCGGCACAACCATTCGTTGCGCCGGAGCATTTTGAGCAGCCAGGAATCCCTGCACACAGCCGGTCTGTGATGGTCTCAAAGTCACCCAACCAAGCATGTTTCTTGCCAGAAGCCTTAGCCTTAGCCTTTTTGGCGGCTTTGGGCTTTGGTGTCGATGCTGGACTCTTAGAAGGGCGCTTCATCATCTTCACTGATTCCCTTGCGTCAAATGCTCCCTGCACCCGTTTGGCTTGCTCTTCTGGAGTGAAAGGGCTTAGTTGCCCTCGTCTGCAAGGTGGTGTCACCTCTGCCTGCGGTGGTGTAGTCTCCACTCTTGTACCTTGTGGTGCTTGTGGTGGCGTCGGTGTATCCTTCACCTCAGGCGATGGAGCTGGCAATGCAGGCAATCCAGGCACTGCGGGCAATGCATGCTGTGGTGTCTGCTGGCGCCCGCGCATTTGGAAATTGGTCAAATTGCCAACAGCTGAAGAGCTTGAAGAAGCCGCCCCCCCACTCATGAAAGCGGCGAAATTCTGCATGAGGTGCATGAAGGCCATTTGCTGCTGGTTCACGTGCTGTGGAGCTGGTGCTGCTATGGGCACGATCTGCTGCAGCTTCGAGGCATCATCCCTCAGCGACTTGTTCGTGCTTCGATAAATCACTGAATTCTTCATTGCGATGCATTCTGACTCGTCCAACTGTTGCGGCGGGTCATCGTCTGTATAGGCATCCCGGTAGATCGACAACTCTCTAGGGTTGGGCGGAAAGGTTGCGATGAAGTCAGCAGTTGCTACCCGACCAGCCTTCCGCTTGATCATCTTCTTCAACTCACCAAAAAGGCTATAGTCATTCTTGGCAGAATCAGTGGTTGTGAGCCCGGCAACTCGTCCAGCTGCAAAGACAGAAGCAACTGCATTTTCCTCACATGACTGCACTGCAAAAATACGTGGGCAACCCAGCAACACGTCAGACCCTCCCAAACGAATCAGACCCCCAAAACATCTAACAAACCTGAATCTAAGCCAAAGGCGCGCTTGGCAAAATCAATCCCACTTTCACACATCTAGTGGCTAGGGTGTCAAGCTTGACTGCGTGGGCGATGTCCTGCTGCGACAGCACTTGACACTCTTGCTTCGACAGGTAGCCTGCAAAGGATGCGCATGTTTGGTTCTGTCTTCTGGCAGGCTTCTCACCAATGGACTTCATCATCTTTCCATTGATCACCTGAGAGAGCTCTTTCACATCGTCGGCTAACCAAGGGCCCTGAGCAATGAGTTGGACAAGTTCCGTTGCTTCTGTAGCAGGAAGCTCTGGAAGTGCTTGGATCCTGCTCGTCAATGCCATCTTGTGCGACTTGCGCACTTCTGCCAGAGCATCGGCTGCCAAGATTGTTTCTTGGGTCTTCAAGAACGCATGAAGAGCTGAAACCACTTCCACAAGCTTCTCTGCCATTGAGCGAGCAAAGGTGCCCTGCTCTCGCGGGCTGTTGCCCTGCGTGTGGCAGAGGTACTCCAGGCCAAAGCATCTAAGTGGCTGCGCAAGAGATATGTGGATTGCATGTTTGCACATGGGCAGATGGTCACTGCTGCTCATATCAACTGCTGCTAGACATTCAGCGGATCTGATTGCACGTTGCACCACATTGTATGACAAGGTTTGAAAAGTCAATGACACTGATATGTTACACGTACATGTATGTATATGCGCATCTGCACGAGCAAAACCACGCAAACATAAAGCGTTGAGCTATTTGTTTCACAGCTGCCACTTAGTGCACGCAGTGTAAGTTCATGCAAAGGTGATGCACTCAGCTGTCCAGTGAACCAGTGAAACAGTGAAACGCCTACACTTACACCTCATCGCCTGGAGTGGGCCCGGAACACTTGTACTCGTCGGGCTGGGCCTCATAGAGCTGCAGCCTGCCTGCCTGCATCCAGATTGCCGTCTCAACCTCTCTAGCTAGCAAGCGCGCTGATGCCCATTTGGAAGCCCTCCAGCTCAGACAGGTACGTTTGGAGCTTTGGAAGGGGCACCTTCATCGCCAGGATGTCAACTGTTTCCATCTTGTTTTTGCCGTTCCACTTCTTGACTCGAAAGCTGGCCATGATGCTTCAAGCGAAATCTGTTTGAAAAGGCTTCAGCGAGCAACTCCACAAATGAGAAGGCATCAGAGCAGCCACCGCAAGCACAAGTCTACAATAAAGGGACATGGCTCTCACAATCTCACAATCACACATGTGCACACACATGACCTTCCCTGCTGAGTGGCGAGCACTGCCCTGCCAGCGCGGGACTGACGCCAGGTTGCCTGCAGCGATGCTTGCAGGGCCCAGTGGGGGGTATATATAGTGATGGGAATTGCAAAGAAACAAGCAGGTGATTGTCAGCAGGGTTGGGGACCGAGCGGATGTGACAAGAATATGAACTTCTTCAACTCAGTTTTGGTTCTCATTGCCAGCAGGTCTGTGCAAACACAGGAGTGACTGTGTCTAAAAGCACAAATTAGACTGAAATACAGGACATTCATCAAAAGAAACGCGCGCTCATCCTACGTAGCCCAGGTGTCTCAGCCCGTGTGACTCTTCGATCTTGGCGTCCATCAGGGTCAATTCCCATCTCCACCAGGACAACCTCCACCTCCCTAGCTAAGCGGTTGGCAGATGGCCACACCTTGCATGTGGAAGACTGCTTGTAAGTCAAGAGTGTATGTCGCGAGTGAACTAAAAAGGACACACACAAAAGTTACAAAAGTAGATCTGCATGGATAACAAGGCTCTGAACCGTCCAGTTCCCGGTAGTAGCAAAGTAGCTTTTCAACAGGGAACCGCATGGCGCGTACATGGTTGGCTTCGAAATGGCGCTTGCCTGGGAAGTCCTTCTCTACCACGTCCCTCCGCTTCATGGAGGATGATGCAAAGCAGGTGCGCTATATGTGTGGGCCAACAGCTACATCACTCTCCAGCTGCCACAACAAACAACCAACGACTGCGAGTATCACATGACATTCAACTCCTATAGGCACTGGAAATAGAAAAGTGTCGCGTGCAACAGTGGCATTACGATCTCATGATCTCGCGAAAGGAGACTCACGAAAGAGATTGATGCGAGCTAGCAAAAGCCCTGCAAGAATGGCGAGCAGGTCTGACACCCACCCTGCCGTGCCTTCAGGGTAAAAAAGCCTCAGCGTACAGACTCGCTCCTGACTGTGCTCTGCCCTCATGTTACCACAGGCGCGTGTAAAGAACTCATGTATGTCAGTGACACAACCGGGTCTGTCTCATGCACGGTCATGTCATCATTTCAAGATAGCGCGTCATGCACAGCCAGGCAAACAAAAACTCTCCATGGGCTGACACTCTGAAGGCTACCGTGCTCGATGTCCGTCGACCGACAACCTGCTCGAGGCCACAATCAACTCTTGACCAACTTTAACAGTTGTAAATCCCGCTGGTGTGCAACTTCATCAGCCAACTGCCAAAGCATTCATTCGATTGCTAAACCATGGCAACGTAACCTGGAATCACATGGAAGACTATACTATACTGTTTCAGCATGTTTCCGCGCGCGCAAAAACAACGTTGGCCTTTGGCGCGTGCATACATGCACTGCGCAATGGCGAGCAAGGGCCCTGCCGAACCTCCATCCAAAGCATCTCCGCCTGGCTGCGACAGAAGGCAAATTAGTCCACAGGGAGGTAGAAGTATGGTGGGTAAAATTCAAATCCCAGGTCAATTGGAGGACCAACAGGGCATCAACTGCAGGATCAATCTATGTGTTTCGTAACCCCAAGAAGCAGGTAAAAGGAAAACAATGTGAAAAAATGTCAAATCCCAAACTCTCACCGATTTCAATGGAAAACACTAAAAAACATCAACATCTACTCCCAATGTCGATTGACAAAAACAGAATGATATTTATTGTCAATCGACAATCGGAAAGCCAACACAGTTGTTGATTGACATGGATTTGCAAAATAGACCCGCCACCACAATGTCAATTGACAATAAAACTTTTAAAAATAGTGTCGATCGACATAAGGGCTGTGATTGCAGGATTTTTGCATTCTTATGGGGAAGCCCCCTAGGGGTAACTCTCGCCAATTTTTTCCGGTGGCCTTTCTGTAGAAGGACAGATTTTTGATTGATTTTCAATCATTTCCAACGCTGAAGACATTCAACAAGTGCTTTGAAACAAGTGCAAACTAGACAAATTATAGTTTTTTGGAGACACCAAAAATGTATCGAACTGCTCTGAAAACATCATCATACATTCAACACCCCACCACATTGCACGCAGAAACCACGTTGCCAGTGTCATTTCCACCGAACCAAACACCAAAACCTCTCAGAAAGAAACACTGTACACCACTGTACAACAGTCAAGCTGCTCCACTACTCCCACTCCCAAGCACAGTCACAAGCATATTTTTTCCGTCAGTTGGATTCTCCGTTGTGGAGACTGGAGATGAGCGTCCTGCATCAATTGGCTTTCCTAGGCGGGAGCACCTGACAATCGCAGACGCGCGCAGTCAAACTTTAAATGTGCGGCTCACAGACGGCCACACCAAAGCACATTTGGTTAAAAATCGGTTTGAAGACGCGCATAAAGTTTGACTGCACACATCCTGACAAGAACCCACATCTACATCACAAACATGGTTCAGCGACAAAGCCAAACACATATAGCGCAAGCCTCATTGGGAGGATGCAGCTGCTGTGCACGCGGCAGTGATTTAAACAACACTAAAATACTATAAAATACTCAAATAGTGTATATATATATATATCATATATACAAATGATAGAAACTATTCACAACCAGACACGATTCATCACCATACAGCTGCAACAATCTTGCGCCCTATGTGGCAAAGCTCAGCGAAATGCAAGTCACATCATCATCCAGTTCATACTCATAGCTGTACACACCGTTGCGCTTGAGTCACTAGTCGCCAGACTCGTGACCCTTGCCGGTCTTGCCACCCTTGCCACCCTTCTTTGACTTTCCTTTGTTGCCTTTGGCCTTGCCACTGCCCTTGGCGACCTGCGACTCCGCCTCGCCGCCGCTGACACCTGCTGCATTGAAGATCAAGTGGCCGCTCATGTTCACAGCGGTGCGAAGAGCCCTGTGGTCCTCGTCGCGTTCTTCTTGGAGACGACGAAGGTCTTGCTTCATGCGCTCGGCGTACCCAGCTCGTTTGCGGGCGCGCTTCCGGCCTTGCCCCGGCCTTACTTGTATTGGCACTGCATCCCTATACCCCTCATACCCCAAAGCCTTTTTGATTGAGCAGTTTTTGGGGTGACCTTTTTATAGAAGTAATGTGAGACACAACCATAAACATACATAAACACAGTTAACATTCTTGCGTGTCAAATCTCACGCCGGGGCTCGCCGAGTACTCGCCGCTCGCCAGCCTGAAGCCGTGCCCTCCTTCGATGTACCGACCGTGGTTGCGGTGTGACCCTGATGCTCCGCGCGAAGACGATGAGGGAGAAGCCGATCGCATATCCTCCCTGCCCATCCTCCACGGCGGTGGTCCATGGGATGGCGCGGGAGGTGGTGGAGGCGGAAACGGTGGTTTCACCGCAGTCGGCCATGAAGGTGTCTTTGGCGGTGTCCTGGGGGGTGGCACAGGCGGAGGTGGCACTTGCACCTGCTTTGGAGGCGCCGGAGGTGGCGGCGGTGGCGCTGGTCGATGGACTGCAGGCTGATGAGGTGCACGATGATGATGTCCGCCTGCATGCTGTTGTGGCCGCGGCTTCGACTTCACCGGGCCAGCAGCCGGTGGAACCCAAGCATCCTCATCAGCGTCATCAGTCTCCGAGGTAACCAGCTCATATTCTGGCTCAGGCTCACATGGAGGCTCCACTGCAGGCTCATCATCTTCCTTCTTTTCCTCCTCCTCGCCCTCCCACATACACCATTGATACCATTCGGCCCATTGTTCATCTGTATACACCTCGTCCTCCTGCTCTTCCTTCACCGCTGATAGGCATGCACCGCCACCTTCGGTGTGCTCTTCACCTTGTTGCGCTCGCAATGCATGTTCTTGGGTACCATATTTAATCGCTTAACTTAAATAACTCTTGAATGAAAGCAACCCAGCGTGATCAAGTATAGAAAACAATCCCCATCACTCACACACACACACACAAAGGGCCATGCACGACAGGTTATATATATATATATTGCTTTTTGAATCGGAAATGAGGTGTAAGTCCCAGCCCGTTTGGTCGTTGATGAGGTTTAGAAAGGTTCCATGAAAGCCAAGCTGCTCGGCTCCGGAGTGGCCGAGGTGTTGCCATCGTGCGCTTGTTGCGCAGCATCGCGCGCGCTCTCCTCGTGCGCGCTCTCCTCGGGCTGCATGTAAGGGTCCGTAGACACAGCATCATCCTCCATGTGAGCCGACCGAAGGATGCCCTGCCGCACGGAACACTGCAACACTATATGTGGCCTGGGGTGTAGACCTATTTGCGCAACTGTGAACACTGGCTTGTGAGCTGTGAACGTTGTACGGTTTGCGACGCTCTGTTCATTACAACTATAAACACTGCACTGTCGGTCTTGAACCCATGCTGCGCCTCAGAAAGGAAGACTGTGAGACCTCAAGAGTAGTGGAGCCCTCAAACAAAGGCCTCATTCAACTTAACTTAAATCTCCAACCAATAGGTCCCTCCAACTGTCACCAGAAACCTTGCACCCAGTTGAACTCTTGGATACCCTGTCAACAAACGGATGGTTCAATCGACTGCAGAGCACAATGACCTGGTTGTACATGAACAGACACCCACGGTATGAAATACTTCGGCACCCCCAAAGCCCTTGTTGACACATACCTGCAATGAGATAGTTAACACCCTCCAACTATATAGTTGCGAAAACCCTTCACCGATTGAATTCTTACCTGGTCCTGGTTTAAACATACATGTGATGAGAGAACCTCTACAACATGTGTCAGTACCATATACGGCTTGAGCCTCTCCACAACCCTGGTTTACACATACCTGGTCTCAACGAAAGATGTCAACAAACGATTCAACCAACATTGAGCTCAGCATTCAACCAACATGACATGTTTGCGCATGAAAAACTCAATATGATATCCTTTCCCGCGAGCAACGTGGCCCTGCGTAATTGGCGAGTAAGGCTCAAACCCACCCTGCCAGGTGTTTGCAACGCGCGCGCCTCCAAGACGTGCTCCAATATCCATTGAGATGAACAGCCTTGGTTCACACAATTCAACGACAGCCAAGATACAAAATAAAAAGCAATGGCTCATGCATCTCAACAACAACCGAAACACAGTCCATATACGAATTCTATCATCCATGAACCTCAAAAGAACAGCCACGGTCACGCAATTCGACGACAAGCAAAACAGACTCCCATAAGAAGGCTCTCATCCATTAATCTCAGATGAAAAGATAGTTCATTCAGCTCAACGACAACCAAACAACACAATCCCAGTCCGGCTTGGATCCTCAACGGCTGGAAGCATCCTCGCAAACAGTCCTGAAGAAACGGTAGCCAGAGCAACGACAGGCAGGGCTTTAGCTCGCCACGATAAGTGCAGGGTTGATGCTCGCATTCTTGTTGCACGCTGTGATCTTGTAGTTACAACCACTTGTCCTACAGTTATAGCTTCACTGTCGAAATCAGGCCAACGTTTTCAATCCCCATAAGAGCCGTCTTCTTTGGCTGCTTCCCCATAGTGCTTTGCTGCTTGTGTACATCTACACAACTGACAATGACCCAAGATCCAATCATACACAGTGCCAACGCTTGGCAATGAATTACAAATTTCAATGCATGATGGCGCCTTCAGTCAGAACCTTGGGACTCCTCCACAGCTGGAGGTTCTTCGTCTCGCTCCTGTGAGTCCTCTACGTTCTGCGATTCATCTGCCTGTGAGCCGTGGGCTTCATCGGCCTTGCGCTTTCGAGTGCGACCCAAAGCCTGCGCCTCCTTCTCGTCCAGGATGCATGACCGAAGGTATTCCAAGTTCACCTGAGTGTACTCAACCCACAGATCGGACTGGACGCTCCACAAGACTTGCATTCTCACCGATGCCGTCCGCTGCGTCTCTGGCGTGTCTAGGTACACGCTATGGCCCGCTATTGCCCTGTCGGATTCGCGTGCTTGGGTATCTTTCTTTTTCCCCCTGAGGCTCATCGTAGGGCGTTCTTCACAGGCCTCTGCCTCGGCCAACGCCTTCCTCAACGCACTGTTGCAGGCCTGCCGCCGCAACTTCAAGAGCGAGTCAAGGCATTGGTAGTTCACCGAGTTGGATTGTTTTCCACTGCGGCGCTCCATTGTCTGACCAGTGGCGAACTTGCAGAACCCGCGATCCCACTTTGAAATCTTGATGAACTTGGTGTTCTCCACAGTGCATGTGGTGGGAATCCAAAGAGACTTGGAACCCTGAACCTCCACAGCGTCCACTTCCTTCAATGTGAAAGACGGGCGGTCAGACATGGCAAATGCAGGCTCAGGCGCCCAAAGTCTGCAAACTCAACACTCAAATGAGGGCTCACGTGATATTGAATAGAAAAGCGGCGGTTATTCCTTTGCGGCGAGCGTGCCCTGCCACATGCGAGCGCATGGCCCTGCACATGCATGGAAAACATGTCACCAAGAGCATCAATGGCTGTATGACTATCAGTGACTAACAGAGACTTGGAACCTCCTTCTCGTCCATGATGACAGAAAGCATACTCACCAAGGATAACGAGCTTTAGTTGATTGATCATCAAATGGAACATATACTGGTCAAAAGAAACAACCTTGACTCATCGAATGCCCTCTCCACATGTCTGATCAAACGCTCTGGCACGCCTGTCATGGGAGATAGAGACCCATTTGCAAACACAATTCGTCGAATGAATGCACCAGGACACTGGATGCAACTCAGACTCAACGAACTGCAAATGCAAACACAATGCAAGAAATCGAACACGCAGAATCAAGTGAATGCATCACATGGCATGAAATACTCACCACCCCCCAAAAACAAACATTTCACCGAAAGTGCGAAACAGACAGAGTTTTCCTTCACAGCTGACAGCTCACATCCAAGTACAGGATTCATCGATCCCTTCATCGATCCCTTCAAAAACAGTGGCCAAGCCTTAGCCTCAAAAACCGTGGCGCATGCCTTTTGAACTGTGATCTCACGTGGCCTCATTTGGCCTTTCGTGCCTTCTTCTTCGGATGCCCTGTTGGATCTTCCGCGGCCTCAGCCTCCACCTTGGGCCTATAGACCAGCAATTGTTCTCCCTTCTTCACAGCCTTCGTGTTCCTCAACACTGGAACTTTCAGCTCCTTGACCTGTTGCCTGCCCAGCGCCGGCCAGATCTCCATGTTGGCCTTGCTTTCATCCTCTGTGCTCCGCACCATGAAAGCCGGGCTCACAAGGCAACCCTCCTTCAAAGGATGCGGCATGAGCCACATGTCAAAGACAGCTTCGCCAATCTTCTTCTGGCCCATGGAGATCGCCGAAGGCGGAATCTGTTTTCCCTTCGTGGCCTCCTGCACCTGAATCTTTGAGGTCACTGGGATGATCTGCAAGGCATGCTTCAAGATCGCCTTTGCTGCAATCACGTCTTTCGCAGGTTTGGTCTGCAATGCAATCAGACCTTCCAGGCTCTTCTTCTTGGCGGCCTCGCAAAGGGCCAAGCATGCACTGGCCTGGAGCTCCATGACTGAGACCTCCACCGACTTGAACGGCTCCCGATCTTCCCAGGCAAGAAACTCGATGGGCGCCTTGGCCTTCACTGTCTGCCATTGGCCCATCAGAAAATCCTGTGCGCCAACAGTCATGGTCGTCTTTGAATCTAGGTTGATCGTGACTTTCTCCGAAGTCATGGCCACAATCTCGCCCTCCTGTTTGGTCTTCTTGTGGAGCGCCCGCTGGCTCACCGCGAAGCCTGCCTCTTCCAAGGCTGCAGTTGTGTGCTGTTTCCCGCTCTCGTCGTACTCACGCATCCTGCGTGGGTGTTTGACGATGCCATCAAAACATGTACCAAATCGACAAACAGGGTTTCTATGTCCATCTTTGTATATGCATGGGTTCAACTCCTTAATCTCAATGCATGAAAACAAATAAAGCATAGCGAAACCTACAATCCAACAACAAACCGTGGTCGTACATGCGGCGTGCCAATCATTGCACTGCCAATTGGCGAGTCATATTCACAGATATGACCCTGCCAAACCAATAACACGCGCACACACACACACACGCGCACGTATATGCAAGGTTCCTCGGAGCAGCCGGAAGAGAATGACTGGCGGCTGCTGAAGCCGAACCACCTGAGGTTGTCGTGCCTGAACTGGATGACAAGATGGGGAGACGAGGTCAGGAGTCTTCAAACCAGAATGCTCCCTCGTCAGCATCACTGCACTGTGAGCAACACTTTGCAAACTGTCGCGCTGCTCTTTGCCTGGCTCCTTCTTCTGCAACAGGCAGAACATCAAAGAGATCTCAAAGTCACCTTGATGCTGCAACTTGACCTCAGCTGGCACGTCAAGGTAATTGAAGAGCTTCTGCACATCAGTGATCAACCCCTCACATTCCTCCAGCTGTGGCATCATACCTGACTTCTGGCTGAAGAGACGTCGAAGGTCGCTCGCCGTGATCCGAGACTCAATGGTGAAGAGTGCCTTAAGAAGCGCGTGGCGGCACTTGGGGAATTGTTGCGCTCCCGTGTGTCGCATCTCGGTTGCGAGGGATTCGTACACCTCGGGTGCCAAGTGCCTTGCAGGCACGCACTTGATGCGCAAGAAGGCCTCCGTCTCTTTCAGGAACTCACCTGATCGCCCCCCAGCGAAGTGCATGACGAAGGTGTACATGCGCGGCACTGCACCTGCATTCGGGGGCTTGGAACGCAGCACCTGCGCTTTTACCTTATCATATAGGCGCACGCCGCTCCCTGGCGGATGATGGCTGTGTGCAGCCTTTTCATCACCTGGAGGTCAGTCTCACGCCTCGCCAGCTGCCCAGCTGCATTGTAAGCTGCCTGCACTGTCTCGGCCAGCGTTGGCCAGGTGGTGGAGCAAGTGGCCTCAAGCACCATCCATGTCTCGCCATCAACGATGGCCTTGTAGAAGGCGCCATCCTTCGACGCAAGCCTCTCTATCGAGAGTCGGCCGTCCAATGTGAGCTCATCATCCTTGTGTTCCACATGCGATGCGAAGCACCTCATGGCGTCGTTGGCGTGAGAGCCAGCCAAACTTGCGTACCTGATCATGTCACTTGCGCCACCCAAAAGGCCTTGGGCCTCCTCCTGCAACTTCCTGTTGAAGGCCTGGATCCTGTCCAGCTCTGCGCCCTGCAGCTGAATTGCCACCCCCTTGAACTCCTGGCTGTCGTAGCCGATGTCGCTGATCTCAGAGCACAACCTGTGGCAGTCGAAGGCCGACACACCGAGACCATCTCGGTTAGCGTCGTGCACGCCCACCTTCATGCAACTCAGGCATTGGCGGCATGCCAAGCCATGGTGTTCCAACACCTGCATGATCTTCCGCACAGATCCCACTAATGCCTTCGTGTCGGCATTCTGCAGGAGGTTTCGCACCTCCTCTTCGACTTCTGGCTTGACAGCCATCGCACTGATCGAAAACAAAGTCCAATTGAATAGTTAGTGAACAAGAAGTTACATTCTGACCATGCAACCATTGCATGCGACGCGCATGATCCACGAGACTGAAAACATGCTCGTTGTCACCATGTTCATGTTCATCCATGTTCATGCTCATGTTCATCCATGTTCAGGTTCATGTTCATCCATTCATGTTCATGTTCATGTTCATATACTCCATGTTCATGTTCATGACGTATATACACGCATACGTCGCTTTGGGCCAACATACACGCAACATCTCGAAACAGTACGTAGTAAGGAGTCATAAGTCATAAGCGCAGTCTCTCAAAGGATGCTTGTCAGTCTCTCATGTTGCAAAAGGACACGCCTCCCACAGGCGCACTACCCTTCCCGGCCTGCCTTCCCTGCTGACTGGCGAGCATACACTGCCCTGCCATGAGCGGGACTCACTCCAAGGTTGCCTGGCGGGGCCGGAGCTGAGCTGTAAGCACCAAGTTCCACAAGTCCCACAAGTCCCACAGTCAAGTCCCACAAGTCTCCACAAGTCCCAGTCTCTCACGACCAACCCTCTCAACAGGAAAGCTCCTATAAAAACGTTTCAAGTGTTTCAAGTTTCACATTTCAAGTTTGGGAAGGACTTCAAACAACGAACGACTTCAAAGAACGTGCACGAAGGACAAATCAACTTTTTCTCAAACACTGAGCCGAGCAATTCATATCACCTTCATTGCGCATGAAGGTTTGCCACCCAAGAACTCGTGCTAGACTCCTTGGTCCGTGTTTCAGACGGGTCGAAAGAATCTCATATGTCATACGCGCATCATGAAGTTAGGAGGTGCAAAGTTAGGCCTCCACTGAGCTGATTGCACAGCGTCACGGACGTAAAATCCGAATGGCCATCTGCAAAGTTGGGCCAACTCATCGAACGCAGTTGCCAACTTGCAGAGTCCGGCGAAGACCAAAAACTGTTGCTGGAGGTCGATGACGGTCAAGTACCTCTCCACATCCTTCTGGAAGCCGTTGGCGCTTGTGCGCCACTCCCTCTCCCAGTTCTCTCGCAGCGGAAACTCGTCTCGGAGCCACCCAAAGCGATCGAACCAGAATCGCTGTCCGCCACCGTTGGCCAGGAATGCCACCTCGGTCTTTAAGGCGTGCTCAGCATTTTTGAGCTGAAGCTGCGCCTTTACCACACTCCGAGTCACCTCCTGTGGCAGGGCCCAACACGCTTGCAAGGCCCTCTCAACTGACACCAGGACTCGGGTCGCTCCAATGGCACGCTCCACATCGGTACGCGCGTGCCGAAGCACAAAGGAGGCGATCCATGCCAACAACAGAGGCGCTGCCATTACGATCCAACCCAATCAGTGATCCAATCTACAATCACGGTATACGAGAGCCAAACCGCTATCAAACAAGGCGAGACGCATCCCTGCCAACAAGCGAGCAAAAGCCCTGCTCACGTTAACGACATTCAACAATTGATTGCACAGTAGGCCACTATATGCAATGCACTCACTTATAGACTCATATCAGATGATTGATTGAGCATCAACTATAACATGTACTGATCAAAAGTAACAATTCCCTCACCAAATGACTTCTCAACATGTCTGATCAAAAGAAACAACCTTGACTCACTTCCCTCATCAAATGCCCTCCAGAGACATGGCGCCGCAACACTTCAGTCCCAAAATGGCGCCTTCTCAACTGGCGTTCGCCAAATGCCCATGGATCCAATTCTGCCTCGTGGATGCATTCGCCAAATTTGTTTTTGTTTGAGATACCGACCATGGAGTCAAGCTAACTAGAGCCACTAGAGAAATATTGGCCTCTCATTCTGTCTTTCAGTGAATGTCTTCATGCCAGCAATGCATGCCTCATGGATCTGCACATGTTTGTACGTGATCATGCACATGCCTACATAGTTCGACGTACAGTGATCTTGTACATGGAAATCCCACCTACCCTCCACTCTGGGCTCACCGCAGTCCCTTCGTCCAAGTTCCATCATGGGCACAATCATCACCCAACAAAAGGGTTTGACTGATATATATTATCTGTGCAGCCCCTCCCCGCTGCACAGGGTGGCACCCTCCTCCTCGCAAAAAATCGGTGCCTCCCTTTTGATATATTTACATATCTACATCTGCTGCAAATGGAAAAAACAAAGAAGAAAACAAAAACAAAACAAACTATAACAACAACTCCAAACAACAAGTTGTGGAAACTTTTTGCGGATACTTCCTAAAAACCTATCAAAATCAAACTGTAAATGCCAACAAAAGAAAAAACAATTCCAAAAAATTCAAAAATATCGACAAGAAACACATCGTCAAAAATATGTGGAAACGTTTTGTGCGGACCCCTCACAAAAATAAAAGTAAACACTTGCACTGCAAACGCCTTCGAAAAAAAAAGAACCCTAGGAAAGAAAACACATGCACGCATTGTACGCATTGTTCTGTGCACGCGTGCGCCTTTCCCGTGCACGCAAGCATTCGCCACGTAGCCCACAAGTGCACTTAACATACTTAGTAAGTTCCAGTTAGCCAACATACATAAATCACCTAAGTTACTTACCCCACATGCTCGTAAGCACGACAACTTACTTACAAAACTTAGCGCAAACTACTTACATTAAAGGCTAAGTAGATATTAAGTTGCCTTGCTACTTAACATAAATCTAAGCACTTACATGTTGACGCTAAGTACTTAACAAATAATACAAACACTATATGTATATTGACTGGTTTATATGTTGGTTTGGCCATGTTATAAGCAATGTTACTGAAGATATATATTCTTTTGGGTAACATATAAGTTCATTGCTAAGCACACTATCCGCTGTAGCCACTTAGCAACCACCACGGGCATCCAAGTAGGGCAATCCTCAAGTTCTGCTTGAGATGGCAGGATAACACTGCAGTTCCGAAAAACGATAGTGTATTCCGTGCCTTGCTGTAGCTTGTCCCAGATTGGGTCCTCTAGGTAAGTCTGTGTGGCAGTTTGCAGAAAGTCAATGAAGCACCCAAATACTTTGAGATCAGTAACAGAAACAAGATAGTCCATAACCTGATCCTCTAGATCTTCAAAGCGGTCAAACTTTGCAACACTGAGAGAGACCTGAAAAGTCTCTCCCGAAAGCGTAGTCAACATCAGGGAGTATTCCATGACCGGCTCCTTTTCAGGAGGAGTGCTAATCATGGATGAATCATCAAATTCCATATGCGACAGGCTATTTGCAAAAATTGTTTGAGCCAAAGGTGTCTGGGTCTGCGCGTGGGCTGTTCCCAAGGCCTTGGATTCTGAAGACAGATGCTAAGGCGCCCACCTAGAGTCTACCATGGGTTGGCATGATATTGGCAATATTCGTGGTAGAGTTCCTCGTCAAAAGCATCCGAATCAGGTCCCTCTGCAGGGAGCAGCTCCACCCACTGGGGTTTTTCAAACTTGTCACACATAAAAAAGGCATTGTGCTCTGCTTGTACCCACTGTTCAATGTCACCCCAGTCCAGGGGGGTGAATCGTTGCAGCTGCTCACACCCACAAAATGCACGGTTGCCTATATCCCTGAGCTCCGTCGGGATGACAACTTCTTGCAGTGCCCCACAATTCAGAAAAACTTCTTTGCCAATTAACGTGAGTCGTGGCGGGAGCCATATGCAGTTTAAAGCGACACAGTGGGCAAATGTGGAAGAAGGGAGGGCTGTGATCTCTGTGTCCATGAGGTTGACCTCCACAAGGCTTTTACAATTCTCACAGGCACGCGGCCCGATATTGTGGAAGTCACTCGGCAGGCAGAGCTGTTCTATGCCTGCGCCGCAGAATGCCCCTTCAGGCAGTCCTCTAGGTTTGTTAGTATGATCCATGTCAAAGGTGATGGTGGCAAGTGTGAGGCAACTCTCGAGGGCGTATTTACCTAGTTGTGCCCCTGGTGCAAGGACACTGTTGTCCTCTGTTCCATGACTGGCCCCAACTCGACTTAGGGAGCAGCACTCTGCAAACACCCTTGGACCGTATCGGATACACCCCGGGGCGGCGACCTCTCGCAGCACATAGCACCCTAGGAAAGCCCCTTCTGCCAGACTTATGACCGAGGGTGGGAGCTTGACAATTTGTAGTTGCTGACACGCCTGCCAAGCCGCAGCTCCTACATGTTGAATGCCAGTTGTCACTTCTACATGCCGGAGCGAAGGTGCGGCATAAAATGCTCTGTCGGCAATTGCCCCTCGCGGGTTGGGCGGGACACGAACAGCTTTGGGGTAGCTCTCCTTGTCGTCATCCTGGAACTGCCAGATGGAGTGCCCATCTACCATGCAGGGACGAACTACAATTTGGAGCTGCGGTCGTTGCAGGAGCACAGTGCGGAATGCCTCTGGCAGGGGTTGCTGCGTTTGGAGGTTGAGCAACTCCAGTTCACAGCCGAAGACATCTAAATCAGAGACTGTCGGCAGAAAGCAGAGAATGTCATCTTCAAGCTCTGCTACATCCTCATAGTGGGAGAGGTCTGTCTGCATTGCATATACCGTACCTGCTATGGTAACCAACTCGAGGTTGATCTCATAACGGTCTTGGTGAGTCGGCATTGTCGCGTAGGCGGTAGCTCGAGCGTGCTTGCTAAGTTTGCTTGAGCCAAATTACAGAGACACCGAAGATATAATCTTTGCGAACCCTGTTATGACAATTAAGCTACAAGTAGGAGGGTGGCTAAGGCCACCCACCTCCTGGAGAGGATCAAGCAACTCGGAGACGGTTGCTGATCGGGATGATTCCTACTGCCGACTACCTTACTGCCACCAACCATAGGACCACCCATAGGGCGAGGGCGATGGGGAGGGCTTACTGTGCCAGGAAGACCATGCTGCCGACGAGGAGCTTCCCGATTCCGGCGGGGGGACAGTTCGGCGAGCTTTATTACCTGGGTCAGGGGCTTCTTGACTGTAGCCCATGTGGTCTCGAAGCGCCTGCTTGTGGTCCACGAGTTGAA